CACCGTTGTCGTTTCCGTGTAAACACCCAAAACGGGAACCTTTGAAAATGGTGACATCATGCGCGTGCATAGAACGTGTTAGGTATGTAGACATGCGCAGTACGTGTCGATTTTAAAGGCAAGCGCGAACAAACATACACAACAATGACGGAGTACATGGTACTCTTGTTGATGCTCAAGAGTTTGCTAACGCTTCTTCAGCAAAGTGTGGATTTACTTCACCAATATTACAACCAACAGCGGAGACGCATCATATACACACAGTAACAGGTACTGTTTACTAACAAGGTGACAGCGCCAACTACTGGCCTGGCATACGTAATACAGCGTTTTTGACCGTTTTCTCAGATATGTGTTAACGCTAATCGTTTTGAAAACGTTGTCATGTATACGTGAAACTTTTTAAAAACGCAAGGGAAAAGCTTTTCCGTTTTTGACTACATCATTGTCGTGTAAACGTAGCGTAAGTCTTCTCACAGCACAAACAGACTAATGTGATGCAAATGTAATCAGTCTGGGTCACACTCCATTAGTATATTATGTAAATACCACCAAGGAGGCTCAAGAAGATAAATTAGGTTTGAATGACTATAAAGCACTAAGAATTAGCACCACAATGAGGCCAGTCACCCTTGGCAGCAATCACAGGCGCTGCATTGTTTGGGCGCTTCAACAAACTTCATTGTGAATCTTCCTAATAAAAGGGTGGTGTTATTTTCTCAAGCAGCTGAGAACCACTGTACCTGCTGGGATTTTAAGATGGCAGCTCCGGTCTGGTCTACATGCTGTGTAATGGCATCGCTGGCCGTTCTGTAGCGCTCGTTGTCATCTGTGACCATCCTGTCCAAACCTTCTCTTGCTCTCCATGGAACGAGTTCCAGCAGAGCGCTGCTTACTTCATTAAGAGAGTCTACCAGTGGCTTCTGATCCTTAACCTCCTTCATCAGTGTCTGGATGTGACAAGTAAAGAAGTAGTTATACATCAACCAAATTTGACAATATTTGAATACTGAAATCATAAACACTTTCCATTTTCAAATATACTTTAAATACTGATGTTTCTTTTGTGTGTGTGTGTATGTGTGTTAATTAAATATTTGTTTTTGGTAACACTTTACAGTTTCTTTGTTATATACTTACTAGAGTAATAACAGTAAATTATGCCTAATATCAAGCAACTAAACCCTAAAAAAAAACCCAACCCCAATTAAGTATGTGATGCTAACTAATATACTGTAACTCAGTACTTATTTGTGTAATTACACTGTCACAATGACGCCTTAAAATACAGTGCACTGTAAACTCATTATTTTTTTGGCCAGTGTATCATTTTCCAAAAGGGTGGCCATCTGTCCGGTTTTAGATCGGACAGTCCAGTTTTGAAATAACATGTCGGCCTACCAGCACAGTCAGACACTAATAAAAACGAGTAAGTAAATAAATAAATAGACTGTTTAAGTTAATATTAGGTGGCATACATTTTAGACAAAATTTTGTAAATATCTACTGTTTTGCTCTATTCTGCTAGCAAAATTTTTGTCAAAACAGAGTCCCAGCAGAGCCACTGTTTCTCCTATCAACACAGTGGTGTTTCAATCCTGAATGATTCAGCATATTTGAACAAATCAGTTGAGTCAATGACCTATTTGAAGACAGTCACTTGCTTCATTCTTAAATGAGTCAGCCGTTTTGAATGAAATGGTGGAATGAACTTGATGCCACCAAAAAATATGAATCTTGTAACATTATTTATGCAATTGTAACTGTAGTGTACATGCATTCATGGCATCTCTGAGCGCTATTAAACAGATTGCATGAACACATCTAATTGCCACTTTAGATGCAGCTTCTGTGCCAGCTCTGCAGTACAAAGATGGGTTTTGTTGATACTGATTTAATTTGATTGGAAAAGAGCCCTATTCTAACTGTATTTTTTAACATATTTAAGAATTTTCAGGTAATAAAGAGAACATGCATTTGAAATGGTAAGAAAAGTCAAGTTTTTTCAGTTTTTCAGTTTTTATTCTGGCTTCAGCAAATCATGCAAAGTGTCACCTTCTTTGGTGTTATAGAAATGTAACACCCTAATCAACATCAGCCAAAGAAGAAAAGTCTTTGCAACCACTTCATCATTGGAGTTACACTTGATTTTAAGTTAGTTTGATTCAATATCAGCTTTGCCTTATCGGTTTCTCCTAAAATGCATTTTTATAGAAATTGGATTTAATTGGATTTCAAATAATTTGGTCTGGCAAATTTACACACAATGAGGGGGAGACTTACAAAACTCTGTTTGTTTGGTACTTTAGATACCTAGCAGAAACACTTGAGATCTCATTTGTGATTTGTTTTTCCTATGGGTTAACATGCAGCTGCAGCACTAACACTTACTTTCTGCCTCTCTTGTAAGCAAGTGAGCTGCTCTCCGACCGGCTCTTGAGCTTTAAACATGGCCAGCTCAGACTCTACCTTCTCCAGCCAGGCGTTCAGCTCCTCATGTGTGTTTTGCAGTTTTGTGGCAAGAGACAGGGCTTTGTCCAGAGTCTTTGAAACATTGTTGCTCATTGTGTTGATCTCTGAATACCTCGTCTTTATTCCATCTAGTTTACCTTGGATGACGACAACCTCATCGCCTGAATGAAAGTGCACACACACAATACAGACATTCATACAGTTTCAGAGCATAGAAAACATTTCTTTTAACAGGAAACCTTTTAAATGTTGGTTATGCAAATATAAAAAAAAAAAAAATTGTTATTGCATTTGTTACATAATCAAATTGCAATAGAACTATACAAATATCAATCCGTTAGCTATGTGTTTTTTTTTAAAATCTCACCCGTGGTCTGTTTCAGCAGTTCTAACCCATTAAGGATGGCCTGTTCAATATTTTGTTTCCTCAACTCAATGTCTTCATGAAGAGCCTGGACATTGAAACATACATCAGTCACAAGCATCTTCTGACAAAATCATACCACACCACTGAAGACAAAGAAACGAAATGAACAAAACAGGGGAAGGAAGCCTTAAGAGGAGGAGCGTGTAAAGTACCAGCTGCTCAGCATGCTGTTTAGCGAGCACGGCCGTCGTGTAGTCTTGGATCGAGACTTCGCTCAGTTTGCTGTGCACCTCATCGAGCCAGGTCATTAGGGCCACTTCGTCCTCCCCAAAGAGCTGCGCATTAGCCAGGGCCTGCCGCAATAACTCGGCCTTCTGGCGGCAATGCTCCTGCAGCTCGATGTAGCTGCTGTGTGTGTTGTCGAGCTTTGCCTGCACCAGCTCCTTGTCATCCACACAGCTGACCGTCCGCAGAGACTGGCCCAGACTCATGGCCTGGTACAAGATCTTACCACGGCCCAAAACCTCCTCCTCTAAAGCCTGATTACCATGGAAGTCACATGACCAGGGTGCAGAAACCATAATAACAGAAAAAGAATGGGTCAAATGAGAACACAAGGAAGAACCACAGAAATGCAGGGAAAATGGGCAATGGATAAAAAAAGTAAAACGTGATGGAAAACAAACTAAACATGGTCATGGGACTATGCCGTCGCTACAGATGGTTCTGTACCTTATGCTGAGAAATTTGCTCCTCCAACTTGGAAGTCTGCGTGCCAATGAGCTCCGAGTTGGCTAGTCTTTTTTCAGTAGCTGTCAGCCACTCCGCCAAAGGCACAAGGGTCTCATGGAATTGCTGTGCCACCACCAAAATATTCTCCAACTGCTTTTGCCTGCCAAGATCATCGCAGTTAGTTTTATTGCTGGACATGATTGGGTTTAATTATACTGTACCGCGGCATATGCTAAAACACAGTCCTTTACCCATGAAAAAGACAAATGATATCTTATGAGCAGAGCTGGAAAATAAGAACTGATTCTAAGATTTGTCCACCAAAGCTGTTTTTTCAATCAAAATGATAATAGCCTATTCCTATTTGACTTGCCAACAATGGACACGTCATTTCCAAAATGTAGCAACAGATTTGCGGTAAGTTTTACCTGTTCTCGGCTTTCTTCAGTAGGTCTTCCCACCTTTGCCCCAGGCATTCAGTCTCTCTCGCGATCTTCTCCTTATCAACAGTATCAGCTAAGTCGGTCACCTTCCGTCCCTCCGTCTTAATCAGCTCCACCGTAGCTCTCCGGTCATCCAGCAGTCTCTGCAGAAGCTAGATAGAGCCAGCAGAAACAATACAGAGGTGAGTAAAACCAAAAAATAGATTTCACACCAGTGAACTCATTCTCATTGAGGATAAAGTCTAAGCATGTCGGCCATCATACCTTCTGCTCTTGTATCTGTGCTTTCACCACTTTGAATTCTGCTGATGGAGGCTTCTGATTGGCCACCAGCTCCTCTGTGTCTGTGAGCCAGCTGAGAAGGGACTCCAGTGCATCCTGGAACCTGCCACAGTGCAGCAGGGCTTCATGAAGCTGTGCAGATCGCTCTGCAACCTGGGGAGATCACAAATACAGCAGTTTTACCTTAAAACTATAGCTTGGCATGCTAGAAATTACTTGGTTTGTTAGTGTAGCATCTTACACTACACCGCTTTTTGTAATAAAAGTTCGATATTGGAAACGCTACACTATTTTAAAGACTATTCCTTAACTACTGAAAAGGTAATAACATCACTATTTGGTAGTTACTCACCAACACTGGCAAACATTATGATTGTTATCAAAAAATTATGAGCATTCCAGAGTGCAGTGGACAAAGAAATCAAACGATTCATCCATGATATTGCACCTCTTCAACTGAATTGTAAACCGTTTTTGAAACTAGATGAAGAGTGGGTCTTACTTTTTTGTTGAGGGTGTTCCATCTGGTGTTGACCTCCTCTAGATCCTGATCAAGTTTTTTGGTGCTGGTGCCTTTGGCGGCATTTTGGATCAGTGCCTGGCCCAGAGTGTTCAACTCCTGCAATTGGCTCTGCAGTGACTCAATGACGTCCCTTTGGAAAATCTGCATGTGATAAATACAGAACAACACTGAAAACCCATAGAAAAATTTAAGCTATTCAATCTTCCCAATATTCAAGCAATCATTAAAGTCACTCTTTCAAAGCTAAGGCCACTTCATTTAGTTCTCAGTATTGGTTCTCAGTTAAGAATCAAATTTGTCTTAGATGTTCCTCTTAACAAGCAGATAAAAACAATGAAACAAAAAAGGCTTGTTGAGATCAAGTAAGAGGACCAAGCTACAAAATAAATGTGTTTAACACACAGTAGCTGCTACTACAATCCTATTCAGGGGACCAACATCCAAAACATATTCTAGAGGCCAGCTTTGTTGGTCTTTTCAGCAGGGTAACTAGATATGTTGTAGCCAGTAGCCTTATAAGGTGAGGCTCTTCCACTGAAATGGGCACTACAGTATGTGCAGTCTAACCCAACTGGTTGTTTTGAGAGGCTGCTACTCAGTTACAGCCAGCTGTGCACAATCACAACATCTGAGTCACTGACCAGCAATCATGATAAACCTAATTCAGCTTTCTCCTAATCTGATAAAGGCCGAATGGCACTAGCCAGCCTCCCAGGAAACACTAATCAAACGATCAACATTCGCCGGCTATTTTGGGGTACCTGGGTGGAAGGCAAGGCCACAAGTTCCATCTGCGAACATTCGGCTATGGATGTTAATAGACTCTCTATGTCTTCCTCGTCCACGTGTTTTATTCCATTGGAGAAGCCTGCCTCCCTTTCAACTAACAACAAGAAATCCTCTAAGTCTGCCATTTTGGAGTCCGTAACTCTTTGCTCGCATTCATAACACTTTTCGTCCTTGGTTACATGTTGTTCAAGATTCTGCCGGCAATGTGAAAGAGGCTTTGGTTCTGTCACCACAACACTGAGGAGCTCACAGTCGTCCTGCGAACAAGTGTCTTCAAGAAGTTCAGCTGTGGGTAATTCCTCATATCCTGAGAATGTCGTGGAGTTATGCGTTTTACTACTTGACTCTGCCAGCGTCCTGACATTTATATCTGGACAATCGCTATTGGAAACAGCGCGCTGACCCACACTGAGGTCTGAGTTGTATGCATTATTACGTTGTTGGCTTCCAAGCATCGATGCATCTGTGTAATACAGCGGAGTGGGTAATCTGTCTTTCATTGGGGAGAAGGGGAACTCTTCATGACCGGAGCTGAGGGAACGCCCAGGCTTGAGGTCCCCAGATACGTGCACCCCCTCAGTAGAAGAAAGGCTTCTTGTGCCAGGCCCAGGTCGCCTCTGGGCTCGTGCGTTTCGCTGTTCTCTCTCCACAGTGGGACTACACAGACCCGAGTCACCTTCTGAGGTAAGAGAGTTCGGCATACTGCTTCCTCTTCCCCCTCGACCCAACCCGTGTTGGCCCGTTCCGTCATTGCACAGCGTTTCGCTGCAGCTGCCGTACTCGCTGAGGTTTGCGGGGGCGAAGGTCCGCCAGGAACGGCGGTGCTGAGCCGGCTCCCTTTTCTCGCCTGCTGGCCGTGGCTTACACAGCATGGTGTCTGCACCCCGGATAATATCTCCATTAAGCTTCAAGCCGTCGAACACGACCCGCTCGTCCAAACGCACCGCCTCCCTGCTGCGGAGCTCAAAGGCACTGGAGGAGGCCAAGACGCCGTTCCCACAGAGTGCGCTTATGTCCAGGGTGCGATGGCTATATGGTAAAGTGCCGACTAAGTGCCTTGAGGCCAGGCTGCCCTTAGAGCCCGAGTCGATTTGCTCATTCAGACGCACTGTGTCATAAATGGACCTCTGGGGAACGTAACAGTCATAAATAAATGTGTACAACATACAGTAGCTATTATTACAATCCCATACTGGGGACCAACATCCAAAACATATGCTAGAGGCCAGCTAGGTTGGTCTTTTCAGCAGGGTAACTAGATATATTGTAGCCAGCAGCCTTATAAGGTTAGGCTCTTCCACTGAAATGGGCACTATGTGCACTCTAACGCCAGGCAACTGGTTGTTGTGAGAGGCTGCGACTCGGTTACAGCCAGCTGTGCACAATCACAACATCTGAGTCACTGACCAGCAATCATGATAAACCTAATTCAGCTTTCTCCTAATCTGATAAAGGCCGAATGGCACTAGCCAGCCTCCCAGGAAACACTAATCAAACGATCAACATTCGCCGGCTATTTTGGGGTACCTGGGTGGAAGGCAAGGCCACAAGTTCCATCTGCGAACATTCGGCTATGGATGTTAATAGACTCTCTATGTCTTCCTCGTCCACGTGTTTTATTCCATTGGAGAAGCCTGCCTCCCTTTCAACTAACAACAAGAAATCCTCTAAGTCTGCCATTTTGGAGTCCGTAACTCTTTGCTCGCATTCATAACACTTTTCGTCCTTGGTTACATGTTGTTCAAGATTCTGCCGGCAATGTGAAAGAGGCTTTGGTTCTGTCACCACAACACTGAGGAGCTCACAGTCGTCCTGCGAACAAGTGTCTTCAAGAAGTTCAGCTGTGGGTAATTCCTCATATCCTGAGAATGTCGTGGAGTTATGCGTTTTACTACTTGACTCTGCCAGCGTCCTGACATTTATATCTGGACAATCGCTATTGGAAACAGCGCGCTGACCCACACTGAGGTCTGAGTTGTATGCATTATTACGTTGTTGGCTTCCAAGCATCGATGCATCTGTGTAATACAGCGGAGTGGGTAATCTGTCTTTCATTGGGGAGAAGGGGAACTCTTCATGACCGGAGCTGAGGGAACGCCCAGGCTTGAGGTCCCCAGATACGTGCACCCCCTCAGTAGAAGAAAGGCTTCTTGTGCCAGGCCCAGGTCGCCTCTGGGCTCGTGCGTTTCGCTGTTCTCTCTCCACAGTGGGACTACACAGACCCGAGTCACCTTCTGAGGTAAGAGAGTTCGGCATACTGCTTCCTCTTCCCCCTCGACCCAACCCGTGTTGGCCCGTTCCGTCATTGCACAGCGTTTCGCTGCAGCTGCCGTACTCGCTGAGGTTTGCGGGGGCGAAGGTCCGCCAGGAACGGCGGTGCTGAGCCGGCTCCCTTTTCTCGCCTGCTGGCCGTGGCTTACACAGCATGGTGTCTGCACCCCGGATAATATCTCCATTAAGCTTCAAGCCATCGAACACGACCCGCTCGTCAAAACGCACCGCCTCCCTGCTGCGGAGCTCAAAGGCACTGGAGGAGGCCAAGACGCCGTTCCCACAGAGTGCGCTTATGTCCAGGGTGCGATGGCTATATGGTAAAGTGCCGACTAAGTGCCTTGAGGCCAGGCTGCCCTTAGAGCCCGAGTCGATTTGCTCATTCAGACGCACTGTGTCATAAATGGACCTCTGGGGAACGTAACAGTCATCGATGTTGAGGTCCTCCTCTTCTCCTTTGCCCACACAGGAAGGGTTCTGCCGCAGACAGTCTGGTCTACTCAGAGGTTTGCCCATTGTGACAATCACTTACAAATGACTTATAACAATGAGGTAAAGCTTTTCAGTGCAACGATCCTTAACAGACATCAACGAAACTTTTAAAAAGCCATAGGGGAGTCTTTACTTTTGCAAATCACTAGGAAACACTTTACCCCAAAGAAGACGTAAGGAAATAAATACAGCCGTAAAGTAAATCATAGATTTTTTTAAGAATATGTGCATGAATATACTATTTAAAACCTAAAATTACAATACCATAAAAATACTATACATTTTATAACATTTCTTTTATAGAGGTGGTTTAAATAAAGTTAATGAAATAATAAATTTTTCGTTATTTCTAATATACATCACTTCTTCCTCTTATACATCCTTTTCCAAAATGACAATCCTGCTGGTTTACATTTCTCCCCATTGTCACAACTTGTCATTGTTGCTTGTTTCCTTAGTTCTTTATAACTCCATCAGGGATGTCATCCAGTGCAAAAAAGTGCTTGGAATTTTAGAATTTCCTGAGAACTCCCGTACAGTTATCCACACAGAGGTATCCAGTATGCATAATGGTGGCATATCCTGATACAAATCCTCAAATCTGGGAAAACAAAGCCATAAGCTCCCGGAGAAACTAAAAGTCGCTCCTGCTTCTCTTGCGGTCCAACCGGCAATGACAGACACCCTCCTGGCACAGGGCTCAAGGCCCCGCCCCCCTCACATTATTCAGGCAACATCTGCCACAGCTCCATTTGTGCGGTGGCCGGCTCATGCTGATTGGTAGACGCTTGACCCTCTTTTAATTCTCCCCTTCTGTCTCCGTGTCCCATTCGACTTAACTTCTTAGTGTGCTTCTGCTCTGAGCACAGCTCTCCTCCTCTTGTCAGGGGAGGGCAGAGACAGAAAAAAGCAAAGCTACAAAAGCAAACGGCACCCTCTCAGATGACATCACACAAGGCAGAAATAGATATGCTTTCTGCTCTCTTGCCCTCGTCGTCCCTTGTTTCTCCTCCTCTCTGCCTGGTGTTTTGGAGCCATGGAAGAGCCTGTAGTGTCTCATAATTACAGAAGAATGCTGAGGGAGGAACTGGATGGGGGTAACCTGTGCCAAGTGCATGACAGGTCTTTTTTCATGGCAAGTGGACAAGGTAGGAGATGCATGGATTGAAGGGTAGAATGAATAAAGAATGCAGTTTGGTTTCTGGTACTTGTCAACTTTACTTGTCAGATAATCTCTGGATACATTCTAATCCCCTTCAAAGTGAACCTCACAGTATATATGCTCAAGCTCAGTACTACATGAAGTTTAGCGAAAATAACCCAGTTAAACATTCAGCTTAATTCACCTCAGGAGTAGTTCATAGGCAATTGTGCATAAGTAAAAATTGAGTCCATTACAATGCCATTATCATGTCCATTAATACTGCAGTTAGCGTGAAATATTGCAAATATAACAACAAATTTGGTGTTCAGGAATATGGCAAATGAAACAATTTATATAAATATTCATTACATATATTGATATATATATATATATATATATATATTAGT